CTAGTAACTGGGGTAACACCAGTAACACGAGTAACACTGGCAATGTATGGTCAAAGCCTAAACAAAAGCGTAAATCCACAAGCTCAACTATAAGCACAACAATAAAGAACTACTCAGTATAAACAGGACAAAAGATACTCACTTGAACATCCGTTTTCTCCAATAACCGCAAATCATGAAAAATAAGCAAATGTTCGCAGGTTCCTGAGTGTTGGAACACATACGGCTGACCTAACCTAGAAAGTTGTCAAAGAGAGTAAAACGAAAACGAGAAAACATACTTACCGCAACTTAAGATCAATAATTTTCACTCCATCTATGTCCCGCGACGTGACTGGATCAAAGCATTTCTTTCTAGCCATGAACTCACGTATCGGTCTTAATTTATGCATATAACTTATAGCTATCAACGCAGAATTTGATAAAGATGCTCTATAGGTTGACCAAATATAGGATTAAATGTTCATATTTGAAATAGTGCTTGCAGCGCACAAAATCAAAAAGAATAACTTACGCAGATATATCTTGTGAATGTGGTAACGAATAATCGACATAAAACGTATCATGGATGAATATAAACGATGATGGATACAAAAGCATGTGAGTCTGAAAAGCGTAATAATGGCAACAAATATTGTGAATTTTCGCACCAGATATAAACTACAAAAAACCAAATGGCACACCTTATTCTGGTCAACTGGTTCCAGCTCCTTACCATCTTCCAGTTCAACAACTGTATCACATATGCACAACTGAAAGTAATGTATAATATGAGAACAAGGGTCTCTATACTCACAATCTTTTGCCTCAAACTGAGAAGGGTTGAGTCGCCACGCAAGATGAGTTTTCTCTCCGCTGTAAGCTGGAAATAAGTGTAGAACGCGAAAATGCGAAAACTACCAAGAGCAATAATGAAGCGGAAACCCTCAAGATAACCCAAAAACTATCTTTGTACTAGATTTTGGGTCAAAAAAACGAAAAATATACTCACAAGTCTAGTGTTTCTCAGCTCATCAGAATTGAGGATTCT